TGGTGGGAGGAGTGGTTGGTGGTGAGGGTGGGGGTTGTGGTGGTGGTGGCAGAGGATGAGGAAGAGAAGGATGTGGTGGTGGTGGAGGAGGTAGTGAATGTAGTGGTGCAAGTGGTGGAGTTGGATGTGGAAGTGGAGGTGGTGTCATTTTTTAAAATGAATGATGGTATTTTGGGAATTAAAAAAATCCATTAAAAGTTCATTTTTGCTTCTTTTGAAAGCAGCTTTGAAAAGCAACCTAGAACCTGCTTTTAAAAGCTGTAGTCAAAAGGCCACTACTTTTAAAATAATCGGGATATTTTATTTTTACCAAACACCTTAAACTGCTTAACTTTTAAAGTGAAGCAGGTTTTTGGCAAAAAAAAAAAAAAAAAAAAAACCCAAATAGGGCCCCAGTAAACAACTTCAATATGAATCTGGAATCTAACTCCTTTCAATCTATATGGTTTAGTAAACAACTTTAATAGGAATCCAGAATCTAATTCTTCTCAATCCAACTCCTCCTCAATTCAATTCCTCCTAATCCAATTACGGATTAATAAACATGTCATTAATCAATTAGGGATGGGGAATTCCGAATTAGAATGTAAGACCTCTTTAAATATTGGAAAGAAAAATACCACTATATTAAAAATTAGAAAGAAAAATAAGAATAATTAAGATACATGTAATGATATACATAAAACATGCATTGAACTTTATATTTATATCAGCAAACAAGTATAAAAAAAACTATATATTTATATAATTCATGTCACCAATGTAGTTTCTTCTACAAAATCAATGATCTTCGTGCACATATATATGAAACATTGTTGTTGTAAAAATGAGAGAGAGAGAGATATATATATATATATATAAGTTTTTTAAGTTGCTGGTGGTTTGTGGTACATTAATTGGTGCAATATTGGGATATTCACGAACTCATACATTCTCATCGTTTGGGTTCAAAATCTGGTGCTTTTGCGTTATAAACGACATCAAATCTCTCTAATCCTCTATTTGGATGAAGGAATTGAAAATTACATAGAATTCTAAAATGATGGAATTTAGATTTCCATCATTTTAATTTCTGGCAATTGAAGATTTTATCATTTGGATTTATGTATGTCGAATTTTGTAAATGACACTACGAAAATTGTGAACTGACACATATTTTGGTGGAAATTAAACTCGGGAATTTGATGTCCCAATTTCCACAATTTTTTCCGTTCATCATTTAATAAATTTTGGTTTTAAGTTGTTAAACAAATGAATTGTCCATTATCCTCTTAAATTCTTAACTTTTAGCTAAATTCCTAGTTATTTTCCCTCATCCAAAAGGAAGGTAGAGCTTCTTCCTCTGCATTTCCATCCCTACCCTTTCCAACATCGCTTCAGTGTAAAATCAATGGACAATTTCGCCATTTGTTCGCCACATAACTCCCCATGAAGTCTATTATCGTCATTCTGCTATTCTTTCAGCGGTTTCAAACTTAACACCACAAGTAATTTGTACTTTTATTTCTAAACTTTAGTACAAATTTAAATCAAGCTACTCTCTTCAATTGATTTTTTTATTAACACACATTTTAACTAGCTTTTTAAATTTTAGGATAATTAACTAGCTTTTTACACTTAGCTCACAATCTAATGTCTTTTTTCTTTTGTATTACTCTAATGTATCTTTTGAAAATGTAAATGAGGATCCCGTGAGAAAAATTGGGAATAAACAAGTGATGTGATTGTCTATGATTATATATATTTAAATTTCTTTGTTGAGTTTTTGGGTTCTATGGGTATATTTTTGAAATGTTTTTTCGTAGTCCTAAAAATGTGTCCGAACAATTGCAAACTTTCTCTTTTGTAAGGTTTTGTTTTGTTTTTTCTTTTGATAGCGACATCGAGAACATTTTTCAAAATAATCAAAAGGTATTGTAAAATTATCACAAATAAAATTGACAGTTACGCAATACATTCTTCTTATCGTGAGAAAATACTCGATTTGGGAGAGCAAGATGAGTAAGATGGTATGTGACTGCATTATACACTCTAGGACTAAAACCTGCATTGTACACTCTAGGACCTCATAACACTATATTCATTTGAGCTACGAGTTCTTTTCATACCAAACACTTGTTAAAAAATGTTAAGAATATTAACTGCTTCCATATAGTTAGTTATTACTAATGAGATATAAATATGCATCTAAGGCAAAAACCAAACATGCATCAATGAAAAATAACTTAGTAGCAATAATTGATACATCACTCCCATATAATAAAGTCTCAAAAGGGGACCATCTTGGAAATATCACATAGTGGCGTTGTGTGACTAAGATTGCATATTATGCATGATGACTGATTATGTTACTTACAGAATATCCTGAGTTTGATAAGGTTGTCGAAGAGATTTTTTTATGATGTGGCTCATCTATTTGAGTATTCCAAATTGTTGAAGAAGCTATTGGAGATGTTTTAGGATTGATATTAAATCAAATTAATAATCAAGTAGATTTTGTTTACAGAATTGTTGTTGGCATTTCTCATTCAGCATGTTTTAAAATGATGAAATTGTAAATATGAGTTTAGCTAAGTTGGTTAGAGCGAATTTGCTCTCCACTTTGCACGCGAGTAAGAATATCGCTTATATATAAAATAAAAAAAAGATGAAATTTTGTTTTTATATTTTTTTTATTTTAAGAATGCACCTATAATTTTAGAGTGCTAATAACAGTTTCTTATTTTTATGGTTGTTTTTTATAAATGAAAAACTTTGGGTGGACTTTCCATCTTGGACTTGTATCTTCTCAACTAGTTAGTTCTCATTTGCAGACATTGAAGACTGAGATTGTATTTGTATGTCTTTAAAAGACGGGAAACAAAATAATACTTGAATAAAATTCTACATATGAATTTGGGAAAATTATTGAAAGAAGGAGAAAATCCGTAAGGAAAGAAAAAGAAACAAAGAAGGGAATTTTGATTTAATTTATCGGTATTCAATTTTCCACAGCTTTGACTAGTACTTTTTACAGACTCGGACACCCCACCCCCTAAATTCTTTCTCTTTCCAGGGATTTTTCTCTCTCCTCTGTTCCCTCCTCCGTCCGGTTCTCTTCCTTCCCGTTCCCTTCTCCGACACCGTTTCGTCTCTTCTTTTTCTCACCTTCTAAATTCCTCTCTGAACCCCCGTATTCCTCTTCAAAGCCGCCTTCTTTCGCCCTCAGTCTTTCCATAACCAGCTCTCCACGGTCCACGGCTTCGAGCTCAGCTTCTTCTTTGCTTGGAGTCAAAGCTCAGAAATGGAGGTCTTTGGGTTTCAGCAGATCTACGAGGCTTAGTGTAAAGAGAGATAGAGAGAGAGCTGAGCAGAGGTGTTGGTGGTGGTGGTGGTGACGTGGCCGTTAATGGTATTGTACGGACGCGCGAGAGCGAGAGCGAGAGAAAGTTGGAAGGTAGATGATGAACGGAGCTCCGCCGAGGGATCGGAGAGGGTGGTGGCGTTACGGTAATTTCTCTCACATGGAATGGCAGATCTTGTTAGCTCCGGGAATGCCAACCGTGACATCGACCAGGTCTCTTTCTCTCTAAATTTTCTTCATCAAAATTTTAGTACGTGTTAATTTGAAGAGAGCCCTTGTGAACCTGTGCAAATGTAAATAAAAGGAGAGAAAATTAAAAGATCCTTAACTTGTTTTGTGCCTGTTTTGTTACTTTAAAATCAGAAGAGTTGTTTTTGCCTCTTCTTTTACATGTAAAAGGTGGAAATTGGGTGGAGAATTCTTTATTTTTAGCCATATTTATGTTATATTTTTTTGGTAACAGCCTTCCTCACATGTATGTGAAAAATGTGAGAGGTTTTTGATTTCGTACTCGGAGAACGGCTTTGTAGAAATGTTTTTGGGAACATATCTTGTAAGGTTTTGATTTATGAGGTTCTGGGTTCATCTTTTCTTGCATAGTGATGCAGTAACGGGTGTTTGTAAAGGACCAAACAGACCTTAAGATTTAAATTCTTTATTTTTATTTTCTCCAAGCACATTTATAATCCAGATTAACATCTGGGTTTGGTCCAAGGACATGTGTACAGTACTGACATCTTCAATTGATAAGTGGCTAGTCATTATTGCCACAGGGTGATCTAATTGCAATGGCATTACGTGCAACCACATTTCACTTTTTCTTCAGGGTGTAAAACCTGCTGCTCAATTTGGAACAGAATCGATTGTAATTTTAGCAGATTCAAAATATTGTAGAAGTTTGGAGTTAGAGATTAATTCTCTTAGTTGCCAGACGGGAGGCAATAAAGACCTAGAATGTATCTTGGAAGGTTGTAACTGAGAGGGAACTAAATTGCTGTGCTTGTGGTTGAAAGTTACAAAGTCGTTACTATATGTGGTACCAAGTTTAATGTAACATTATGATTAGAGTGAAATTTGATTTTGGTTGTGAGAAGAACTCATTATTCCAGCATGAATGATACTACTTTCTTGTGTGGGTTCTTGTGGTCCTGTGTTTATTGCATCAAGAGTTTATCTGCTGTTGTTATCTTTCTCATTGTTTCCAATGATCCTTAAACGATTTGCAGGCAATAATTGCTTTGAAGAAGGGTGCTCAACTACTGAAATATGGTCGTAAGGGAAAGCCTAAGTTTTGTCCATTTAGACTTTCTACTGTAAGTTTGTATCTAAAGCTTCTCTATTAAGATTTTTTAAAGTTTATTTAAAATTGTAAGATATTGGTACTTCGTCTACTGCATGCTAGGAATAAAACATGATGTGTGCAATTACAAAGGTTGAAGTAAAAAATTTATTCCACGTTTCCTGCATAGAAACAGACAGTAAAACACAATGTATGCACTTATAAAAGGATGAAGTGAAGAATAAGTTTTCATTGATTAATCAGAAGTATAGCAGGGTTTGATGGAAATTTGTACAGAATTGTGCAATATATCTCTTAAAAATATCAAGTTTTATGTTGCAATGTTACACAAAATTTGAAGAAAAACATTAAGGTTCTTTTGTAGAAGATTGGAACTGAGAGGATACAGTAGGCAGTTCCCACAGTCTAGGGCAATGATTAGATTTTTGGGAATTTAATTGTAGTGTGGTTTCAGGTCAGTCAGGGAAAAACATGGTCTATAGTTCGAAGGAAAGGTATCAGTAATGGATTTATGGAGTTTTGATAGACTGAAATTTTGCACATTGTAAGGACTTGATCGTGTTTAATGTCAGTTGACATTAGTTGTGCAGCTAAGTTGCTGGATATGTATGCTGCTATGTCTTTTGGCATATGCGATGGAAAATACTGCTAACGAGACTGCTTTTTGTTGGCTATCTATGGTTCTGTCTTGTGGTTATATCTATTATAATTTGATTCATAAATCTTTATGCTTCTTAAATGCCTTCCATTTTCTACTTACTGCTTCATTTAATAACTGCAGGACGAATCATCTTTGAACTGGATTTCAAGTAGTGGTGAAAGAAGTTTGAAGTTAGCTTCCGTCTCAAGAATCGTTCCTGGACAAAGAACTGTAAGATATTCGATATTACTTTGATATATGTATGTTTGGTTTGATATCACTGTAAGGTTGAAGTCTTGTAGCTGTACTTATTCTAATTTCACATGGTCCCCATATTTACTACAGGCCGTCTTTCAACGATATCTGCGTCCTGAAAAGGACTATTTATCTTTTTCCCTTATATATAATAACGGAAAGCGATCTCTTGATCTGGTTAGTGGTGGAAGTTTAAATTCTATCTGTAATTACATTGTTTCTAATTCTTATTTTTATAATAATATTATAAATGACAACCTGTTATTATTGCCTTTCAGATTTGCAAGGACAAAGTTGAGGCAGAAGTGTGGATTGCAGGCCTCAAAGCATTAATATCCTCTGGTAGAGGTGGGCGTTCCAAAATTGATGGATGGAGTGATGGAGGCCTCTACCTTGATGTAAGTATGCCTACTTAGAAACCTTTTCCTTGTTAAATTTATATTGTGTCTTGCAGTGACCTGCGTTATATGTGCATTATCATGTGCATTTGAAGCTTTTAAGCTAAAGTTGAAATGCTGAAACATGATGCCTCAGAATAGTTTTTATATCAAATTTCTGCCTGGGTGAACTTATTGTGTATATATAGTTCTTTTCCTTTGTAATTTTTCGTTTTCGTTTTTTATTTATTTCTAAAAGTCTAGTTCTTTTATTACATTAATGGCTAATGAGTCATCCAACTTCTTTATGGTTTAGTTTATACTGTATTATTGTAGAATATGCAGAAATGAGTCGTCACTGGCACACACGTACATACACAAATATTTGGATTTATGAAAGTTTCTCTTACATTTAGATATGTATAAAGTGTACCTGTTGAACTGCTGCCTGCTTATCAAGTCTTTGGGTAAATTAATTTCAGGATGGCAGGGACTTGACATCAAATAGCCCTAGTGATAGTTCTGTTAGTGGACCACGAGATAGTGGCTCTCCAGAGATCTCTGTCAGTTTCAAACCAAATATCTCGCCAAAGAGATTTCCACCTGAAAATTCTCCAGTTTCTGAGAGGTCACATGCTGCATCAGACCAGATAAATATGCAAGTAAAAGGATCTGGTTCAGATGCATTTCGAGTTAGTGTTTCAAGTGCTCCCAGCACTTCAAGTCATGGTTCTGCGCCGGATGACTGTGAAGCTCTAGGCGATGTATATGTATGGGGTGAGGATATTTGTGATAGCGTTGTCAAAGTTGGGGCTGATAAAAATACAAATTATTTGAGCCCAAGATCAGATGTGCTTGTGCCTAGGCCATTAGAGTCCAATGTTGTTTTGGATGTACACCATATAGCCTGTGGGGTCAAGCATGCAGCCCTGGTCACGAGACAAGGTGAAGTGTTTACATGGGGTGAAGAATCTGGAGGACGACTTGGGCATGGTGCTGGGAAGGATGTTGTTCAACCTCGTCTAGTTGAATCGCTGGCAGCTACTAGTGTTGATTTTGCGGCATGCGGACAATTTCACACTTGTGCTGTTACAATGGCTGGGGAACTTTATACGTGGGGAGATGGTACGCATAATGCTGGGCTTCTTGGTCATGGCACTGATGTCAGCCATTGGATACCAAAGAGAATTTCTGGTCCTCTTGAGGGACTCCAAGTTGCCTCTGTAACTTGTGGTCCATGGCATACGGCCCTGGTAACATCAACAGGGAAACTCTTCACATTTGGCGATGGCACATTTGGTGTCTTAGGTCATGGAGACAGAGAAAATGTTGCATATCCGAGAGAAGTAGAATCCCTATCAGGGTTGAGGACAATTTCTGTTGCATGTGGGGTGTGGCATACTGCTGCTGTTGTGGAGGTTATTGCAACACAATCTAGTGCAAGTATTTCATCAGGTAAATTGTTTACTTGGGGTGATGGAGATAAAAATCGTCTTGGACATGGAGACAAGGAAGCCCGGCTTAAACCAACTTGTGTTCCAGCTCTTATTGATTATAATTTTCACAAAATTGCTTGCGGGCACAGTTTAACTGTTGGCTTGACGACATCAGGACATGTTTTTACAATGGGCAGTACTGTTTATGGTCAGCTTGGAAATCCCAATTCAGATGGAAAGCTACCTTGCTTGGTAGAAGACAAGCTCTCTGGAGATTGTATTGAAGAAATTGCTTGTGGTGCTTATCATGTAGCAGTATTAACATCCAGGAATGAAGTTTATACATGGGGAAAGGGGGCTAATGGGAGGTTGGGCCATGGAGATGTTGAAGATCGGAAAACACCAACTTTGGTTGAAGCTTTAAAGGATAGACATGTGAAATATATTGGTTGTGGTTCAAACTATACAGCAGCTATTTGTCTTCACAAATGGGTATCTGGTGCTGAGCAGTCACAGTGCTCTTCTTGTAGACAGGCTTTTGGATTCACAAGGAAAAGGCACAATTGCTATAATTGTGGACTTGTGCACTGCCACTCATGCAGTTCAAGAAAAGCAACAAGAGCAGCACTAGCTCCTAATCCTGGAAAACCATATCGAGTGTGTGATACTTGTTATGTGAAATTGAATAAGGTGTCAGAAATTGGTGGTAATAACAGAAGGAACTCTATACCTCGCTTGTCAGGTGAGAACAAGGACAGGTTGGATAAGGCTGACATAAGATTATACAAGTCTTCTGTACCTTCTAACATGGATTTGATAAAACAATTGGATACTAAAGCTGCCAAGCAAGGAAAGAAAGCTGAAACATTTTCCCTTGTCCGCTCCGCTCAAGCACCTTCATTGTTGCAATTAAAGGATGTTGTTATGTCAACTGCTGTTGATCTGCGGCGAACAGTTCCCAAACAAGTTCTTACACCATCTGGAGTAAGTTCGAGGTCTGTATCACCATTCTCGAGGAGACCAAGCCCTCCTCGTTTCGCAACTCCAGTTCCTACAACATCAGGACTTTCATTCTCAAAAAGTATTGCTGATAGTTTAAAGAAAACAAATGAACTTTTGAATCAGGAAGTGCTAAAGTTACGCTCACAGGTACATAATTCATACTTGTCTGGACTTTATTGCTATTTTTTATATACCTCATAATCAGGGTGTCGGCTTTCATATTTGAGTATTTGTAATATCATATTTTAACAATTTATTATAAAACATTGTGGTAAGGTTGATAGCCTTAAAAAGAAGTGTGAGCTTCAGGAATTAGAGCTTCAGAGTTCATCAAAGAAAGCACAAGAAGCTATGGCATTGGCTGCAGAGGAAGCTGCGAAATGTAAAGCTGCAAAAGAAGTTATAAAGGCTCTAACCGCACAGGTCATTAGTTCAGCTATATGCTTTCATTTCCTTAATTTATTCACGATCTTCAGCTTTTATGTCTGATATCTAGTAAAACTTACATTTAGCTGTCCCATTATAATATTGAATTTAATGTAATACACTTCATCGAAAGTAGAATAGTACATGAATTTTGTACCCATAGTTTATCTTAAATTTCCATAAAGGGTTTAACAATTAGTGGCCAATAGTACGAGTTTTAAATTCCTTTTTGTCAGTTTCCCAATCTTCCAACTCTGTTAGAAGGTGTGAGTTTTTTTTGGACGAAATTCATTACTATTGAGTTAGGTAGCTGACTACCTCTACTTTTTTGGTTGAATTTTGTTTTACGTTGAACTGCCATAGTGATCATCATCGTTTACAATATTTCAGCTCAAGGATTTGGCGGAAAGGCTGCCAAATGGTTTGGAGCCAAATGGCATTCACTATCCAGATGCTAATGGAGAGCAGCATTCAAGATCAAATTCGATCAGCAGTTCTTACTTGATTTCCTCCTTGGGAATCGACTCTGCTACAACAAATGGAAGTCCAGGCCCGACTCATTCACTCAAGGATCCAGTTGGAACGAATGAAACTAACCTGCAACAGAATCGGGAGCTTCTGACTTCCAATGGGATGGTAAATCCCCTAGATAAACTACCCAATGGTGGAGCATTTCAGGCAGTTAGTGGTAGTGTGTCAGGCACTGTTGATGGCAAGGAATCCGGACCTTTCCAAGATGGGGAGAATGATACAAGATCCAGGAATTCTCCATCAGCTGCTAATGGTAATACAGTTGAGGCAGAATGGATTGAACAATATGAGCCTGGTGTTTATATAACTCTTGTGGCTCTGCGGGATGGAACTAGAGATCTCAAACGAGTGCGCTTCAGGTACTCCTTGGTTATGCTATTTTCTTAATGCAATATGGCTCGTAAGCAGATAGACAGCCATGCTCTTTTGATCAGTTTATTTGATTTAATTTTTATTTTCATATGATCATGATTTTCATATTGCCCATAGCATGGTATGAACCTGAACCCTCTTACCAATCCTTCTGCCGCATACTCAGTTCATAACTGTGGTGTTATGTATCAAAAGCTATCCAGCAGAATAAAATCTGATAATATACGTTCATTTGCAGCCGAAGAAGATTTGGAGAGCACCAAGCAGAGATTTGGTGGTCCGAGAATCGTGAGAAAGTGTACGAGAAGTACAATGTCCGTGGGTCAGACAAATCTTCAGTTTCTGGCTCAGCTGCACGTAGATCAGACGGAGCTCTCTCACCTGCATCTCAACAATCTTAGCATGGAGGGCAGGAGGGAAAGTCATTAACACTCATTTTGTATCAATTACTGTGATGGTGTTGAGGGAAGCAAGAAAGGGTGGGGTATGAAGGGATGCAAACGCCTCTTTTTGCCTTTGTTTTTTTTTTTTTTGTTATCACCCTTCATCCCTTCCCACTGTCTCCCATTTTTTTTCTTTTTAAATTGATTTTCCCACTTCCATTTAATTTATGGGTATTTACCCTTTATACACGTGTTGTATTGTAGTGTATATAAAATCTTCATTTATGAGACGATCTGAGCAAAAGAAAGTTCCACTTCTCGCTTCCAAACTTGCTGCCCCTTAATTGTTCTTTCTTGTGAATTTAACCGCTAGGTTTCGATTGCCTCTTTATACTCAAATAGTTAATAAACCTTAGTGACGATGTCAATTGACAAGACTACTACTGGTTAGTGGGTAACCTAATTAATTATTGTTATAGGTAATTCAAACTGATTGTTGATGCGTTCAATGTAAAGTTTGTGGTGAGAATGCCCAGGACGTATTGTGCTTTCATTTGTTCTCCTAAATTATATATTTAGTTGATTCCAAGCATACGCAAAATCGATAATTTTGCCGATATTTCGGATAAGATATTTTCTTTCAATTCGCAGCTTTAAATGGTCATAATATCGCGACTTGGACTTTCAAAAATTAAACAACTTAAACTCAGCGCACAGAGTAGGGTTTGAACCCCTCCCAACTCTGAATTTTTGCAGCCACTTAACCACCATGTCAGTCATCACTTTGTGATAATACGCTACGGAATATGTATTTATAATACATGCGAGCTGTTTCTCAAAATAGAAATTAACATAATTACTTATTGTTTTATATTGTTGATCAGTTACTTAATTACTTAATATAATTTATTTCTTTTCTATTTAATCCATTTAATGTTATTGATTATTTTATTATTCATTATAAGTACTTACATTACTAAATTCCCCTTCAAATTGTTGCTTAATTACTTAAATCTCTATAATTATTTTCTTTGTTTACTACTTAATTCTTTCTTTGATAAATTTATTTATGTTCTTAGTTAATTTTCAATCTTCACTATTATTTTTTAAGTATGGTAAAGTGCCTAATTTTCATGAAAAGTCAAGTTGGTTTAATTATTTTTCAATTTTTGATAAATAATAAATATAAGAACGTGTACCATGTCCAATGAATAATGTGAAATATTACCATGCAATTTATAAAGTGTAAAATATTGTACTAAAAAATGATAAATAAATTACTATGGGGTGTTTAATTCTCTTCGTTAATTACTCCATATTTTCTAAGTCATAGAGTTTGTCAACACGCAATATAATCAACTTAAATCACTCAAACCCACTATGCAATGCATTTCCTTCCAATTTTTTGTGTCAAAATAATAGATGATTGACTAAATAAACTTCTTCTAAAGTTTCATTAAAAATTTCCATGTATTTATCACAATTTCCGTGGTTTTTATCCAATTTTTATCGATATCGATATTTTCCCTATATTTCCATCGATATTTCCTTGTTTTTGAACCACCGATATTTCCGAAACTATCGATATTTAAGACCTTGATTCCAAGCAATGGGTTTATGCCCATCACATGAGGAGAGACGTACTTACATACACATTTAAGTTTTATTCCTCGGTAGACTTGGCAAAGTGATCTTGTTTTGCGGGTCCGTATAACTCAATCCGAACATGACTCGTTAAGTTGAGTGGAAAATTCTAAATATAAAGGAAACCTACAAAAATAAGGGGTTACACGACACAAATCATTTCACTCATTGAGAAATCTAATCATAATAAATCTAGGTAAGCAGTGACGAACTTATTAAGGTGCAAAGAGGTGCAACTACACATTCTCTTGCTGGAAAAGCCATTGTAGTTGTTGCATATTGCACCTTTGCTCAACCCAGGAGGTGCACTCTAGATGTTTGATGAAAAGTCTAAACGAATTCAATCTGTTGCTGCACTGCGCTACAGCACAGCGCACTTAATTTTTTTTTTTAAAATTCTGACTAAAATTGCACCTCCGTTAAAAAATTTCTAGGTCTGCTAGTGTAGGTAAGCTTCCCCTTGGTGTTTCGGGATCAAGTAGTCCCTCCTCCTCTGGCGAACCCAAATTGTACTATGTTTGCATGAAAAATGGCCCTACTCTTCTCCCAAAACAGGCACGGTAGATGATCTTCGAGGCCAATGGAAAGTTGTAGCAGTTTCATTAAAGGAGGCCACTTGAAATTTAAAAATGAAATTCGGGGATCAAAAGAATACGAATCACATGCATTGTTTTTCACTTGCATGCACTGGCGGATCCACAGAGGCGCAAGGAGGTGCAGCTGCACCTCCCCTCGCCGGAAAAAGCTTTGAAGTTGCCGGAGTTTGCCCCTCAGCTCTACCTTGGAGGTGCCCACCACCTGTTCGAATAAATGCCTCAGCAACCCAGCAACCTCCTTTTCTTTGTTGCGATGCTGCGCTGGGAGCAGCTTTTGTTTTGTTTTTTAATTCCTGGCCAAACGAAGTCGTTTTGGCCACGCCAAAAAAATAAAAAATTTAAGAGCAAACCTGAAGCCTTATTTCCACTGAACGGAAGAGTGTGTTCTTGTGGTCCAAGTTGGAATTAAATGGACCAAGGGATACTTGCGTTGAATGATTTTTCAAAAGCTTTGCATGCTCTTGAGTGTCTTGCTGCAGATCCATCCCTCTCCTCCCAAGTTTGAATGTTTTTTTTTTTCATTTTTTCTCTTCTGGTTTTTTTTAACTTCTGTTTTTTTTATATATTTTATAATGTGTATTTTAATATTGTTGTTTATTTTAGAGAGATTATTTTTGTTTTCTGATTTGGTTATGTTTGTATAACCATAAACCCTAAATCCTCTTTCGAATAATTCGGGAATTTTTTTTGGCTTTTAGCCTTTTAAATGTTGCCCCTTCTCAGGAAAATTCCTGGATCCGCCGCTGCTTGCATGGTCTTTTTTTGTTTTTTGTTTTTGAAGCATGCATGCATAATGAATTGAAACAGTAAAATCGAGTGAATTACATGCAAATGGCCCTGCATTGCACGACTGGCAGCACTTGATATATGTAATGTTTAATTATAACAATTGCAGGTGAGCCTACCTCCCATATGTGATCATTTTGATAACCTGCCGACACTGAAACTTACGCAGAAGCTGCTAACAACATCAGTGAGTGAAAAGTGGAAAAGCCAGCAGGGACCCCCCCCCAATTTCTTTAAGTTTTAACCAAACAAACTCTTTGAATTTCCCTCACCAAAATCCAAATATTTCTAATACTAAGTGCACAACCTTTGACCTCAAGACTTTTCTTTGACAATCACAGTTCTATTTTTTGATATAAGAGAAATCGGATGTATAGATAAATACTTTTAACTACTTGAGTTATAAGTTCCTTATAAATTACGGGATTGTTTTTTATTTATTTAAATTCATAGTTATCACATGCTCTCTCTCCTCTCTCTTTCTCTCTCTCTCTGAATGACCAGTTTGTTGAATTTAATGCAAGATGTGAAAAGACTTAACCAACTCTAGCTAGCAACGAACTTTTATGAGATAGTTGGTCAATTTACCCTCCCTCCAAAAACGCAGTTGGACTCTGTTAAATAAATAAATAAATATATATATATATATACACACACATACAATATATCTTCATGGATGGTGAGCATAAGAAGACTTTGTTTCGGTTACAGATTCATAAGAGACTTTAGCATCTACTTCTTGCGGTTATATCGAAGGCATTAATTAGAACAAAACTTACAGAAAAAGGAAAACAAAAGTCAAATTAAAGTGGATAGTCTCCAATCGTGTTTGAAAAAATGAAGCAAATAATGCAAAATAAGAAATGTGTATTCTTCTGATTTTGTTTTCTTCCCCATCTCCTTCTCAACACCTTCCCATCAGCACATTAAAAATAAAAATAAAATAGGTATGATTGTGCCTTTCACAAATCAAATGAATGACATAAAAAATGAGATCATGACATGTAGCCCTAATAAATTTGAAGAGGACGTCCATCATCATTCCTGTCAACAGATTTTGGGTTTGCTCACACTCAATCTTAAGTACAGTACCAAGCTAGCAAGCTCATGATCACTGAGACACAACCCCATAATCTTTACTTTTTCTGCATCAAACTTATGGAAGAAGACACAAATTCAAACTTGTTAAATTTGAATTATTGGCCGATTTTTTTGGTTCTTTTTTTCCTTACAAAACTTCCTGTTCATCATCAGCTGGATGAAAATTTACTCTTGCTCTTCCAAGAAGGAGACAAATCCATACCCAGAAACATTGAAACTTGCCATGCTTATTATAATAGCTTCTCATAAAATTAAGCTGCAACAAACAAAAATAACAAAAATTATGGAGATATATATATCCATCAACCCCATGTACATTGCCCATGACCAATATTGGTTCTGTGAGTTGACGAAGAAATATGAGCAGCTACATCTACCTTTGTCTGTAGAAAGATTATATATATATATATATATATATTTGTCTTCAAGGTGAGAGCTGTGATGAGCTTTGTAACCCAACACCATTGTGCTCCTTGGAAGGTCCAGATGGAGGGATTGGCGAAGCTTTTGGTAAGAATGCAAAAAAGTTACCCTCATGTGGATTGTGATCAGAGTTGGGCTTCATTACCTTGAAAACTTGACTCTGCAATGTTCTTGAGCTCTGAGTATGGCCGACCAGAAAGATGAGCAGCAGGAGTAACCGCAGCGCCACTACAAGTAGTATTTGATGATCATGTCTTTTGCCCATTTCACCAAGCAGTTCAAAAAGCCTATATAGAATACAAGATGGAGCAAAATCGAGAAAGAGAAAGGGGGTTTTGTCAAGCCCTGAAAAGTTCAAAGGAAGTAAGGTTAATAATGGATGGCACAAACTACAAAAAGAGATTATATATACTTAAATAGATATATATACATATAAACAAGTAAGCGGTTTGTAACTGAAGTTGTTGAGAGTATTTACCTCTGAGTTCGAAACTCTATCTTCGATTAACGGATATCAAGTTTGTATATATAAATGAAAATGCAATGTTTGGGGTGTGAATGAAGCCTGTGAACGTGAGATGAAATTGAGGTACAAAACAATGACGGAATGTGGAAACACGAGGAAATAAATGCAGGGACTGAGTCATGTGCATTTAGATTTTGATTATGTATGTGGCTAGTGAGAAAAATTAAATAAGGTAACATGTAGTAATAGTCTTTGAACAAGGAAGAGCCTATCAAGAAAAGGCTTTCTTAAGAGCAATTGAACGGGTCTTTAG